CGTACACAACGCTCTCCTCGGGCGACCTGGGATAGAGGATCTGGAAGCCTTGATCTCCCTCGAGCATCTGTGTATGATGTTTCGCATACCGACCGGCGTCGTGGAGGCGCGATGCGATCAGAAGACGGCTCGTAGTTGCATGAACATCTCCGATAATATTGAATTGATATACTTTAAAATACTTATTTAAAAATAATCATTGGGCATTATTTCATTTGCGCAAAGTGCGTAAACGAACTAGTTGTAGTAACAAGAATGTTTTATTCCAACAAAAGGTTTGTAACACCCCCAATTTTAGAAACGAAAATATTAAAATAAAAGACATATATTTAATGAAAAGAGACTAGTTGAGCTTTTTTATATTTTATTTTATATATTTTATACCTAATACTATCATAATATTATAAATTTAATTACTATATTTAGATATTTATGTCTATTAGCTATAAAAAAAAAAAAAGGAATATATTTAGTTAACCAAATGTTTGGTTTGCGAAAAATAATTGAATAGGAATGTAATTTAAATTCTATGGAATAGAATTAGAATTTACTTAAGGCTAATTAATTTTCTTTGAAATTAGATAATGTAAGGCTAATTAATTTTTTGTTAATTAATATATTTCTTTAATTGTTTTTGGGTTAAATAAAAGAGAATTGATCAGTGTTACCATCTGGGGTGGTGGCGCAGTTGGCTAGCGCGCTGGGCTCATGGCGTTAACAAATCGTTAGACAAATTCACTGCTCGGTGAGAGTTCCAGAGGTCGAGAGTGTGATCCTCTCCCACCCCAATTTCTGTTGATCTTTTAATTTAAGTATTCTTAATCTTTAAATATAAAATCCAACCTTATCCATATGGTTGTTATTGCGTAAATGGTTAGCTTACAGATCTCAAAGTGAGTTTGGATCCTGTGGAGCTTGAGTTCCAGTTTTACCTGTCTATTTTTGAAGTATAAAAAATTATTTTAAATTTTATTTAGTAAATTTAATTTTTTAAGGAGGAATTATTATTATTATTATTATTATTATTATTATTATTATTATTATTATTATTATTATTATTATTATTATTATTATTATTATTATTATTATTATTATTATTATTATTATTATTATTATTATTATTATTATTATTATTATTATTATTATTATTATTATTTTTTTTTTTTTTATTATTATTATTATTATTATTATTATTATTATTTATTATTTTATTATTATTATTATTATTATTATTATTTTTTATTATTATTATTATTTTTTTTTTTTTTTTTTTTTTTTTTTTTTTTTTTTTTTTTTTTTTTTTTTATTATTATTATTTTTTATTTTTTATTATTTTTTTTTTTTTTTTTTTTTTTTTTTTTTTTTTTTTTTTTTTTTTTATTATTATTATTATTATTATTATTATTATTATTATTATTATTATTATTATTATTATTATTATTATTATTATTATATTATTATTATTATTATTATTATTATTATTATTATTATTATTATTATTATTATTATTATTATTTATTATTATTATTATTATTATTATTATTATTATTATTATTATTATTATTATTATTATTATTATTATTATTATTATTATTATTATTATTATTTTTTTTTTTTTTTTTTTTTTTTTTTTTTTTTTTTTTTTTTTTTTTTTTTATTATTATTATTATTATTATTATTATTATTATTATTATTATTATTATTATTATTATTATTATTATTTATTATTATTATTATTATTATTATTATTATTATTATTATTATTATTATTATTATTATTATTATTATTATTATTATTATTATTATTATTATTATTATTATTATTATTATTATTATTATTATTATTATTATTATTATTATTATTATTATTATTATTATTATTATTATTATTATTATTATTATTATTATTATTATTATTATTATTATTATTATTATTATTATTATTATTATTATTATTATTATTATTATTATTATTATTATTATTATTATTATTATTATTTATTATTATTATTATTATTATTATTATTATTATTATTATTATTATTATTATTATTATTTTTTATTATTATTATTATTTTTTTTTTTTTTTTTTTTTTTTTTTTTTTTTTATTATTTTATTATTATTTTTTTTATTATTATTATTATTATTATTATTATTATTATTATTATTATTATTATTATTATTATTATTATTATTATTATTATTATTATTATTATTATTATTATTATATTATTATTATTATTATTATTTTATTATTATTATTATTATTATTATTATTATTATTTATTATTATTATTATTATTATTATTATTATTATTATTATTATTATTATTATTATTATTATTATTATTATTATTATTATTATTATTTATTATTATTATTATTATTATTATTATTATTATTATTATTATTATTATTATTATTATTATTATTATTATATTATTATTATTATTATTATTATTATTATTATTATTATTATTATTATTATTATTATTATTATTATTTATTATTATTATTATTATTATTATTATTATTATTATTATTATTATTATTATTATTATTATTATTATTATTATTATTATTATTATTATTATTATTATTATTATTATTATTATTATTATTATTATTTATTATTATTATTATTATTATTATTATTATTATTATTATTATTATTATTATTATTATTATTATTATTATTATTATTATTATGTTTTCAATTTTAATAAAGGAACCAAAACAAATCTCAGGCGTAATATTTTCTTGTTTTATTAAATAAATTAACTAAAAAAAAAAAAAAACACTAAATTTGACATTTCAAATAACCATTTTGTACTCTATCACTGAAAGTATATGTTATGCAAAATTACTTATAATACATTATTACATATAGTAGGGACATGAAATCGAAGGGGTAAATGAACCAAGTTATTCGTTAACTATTCAAACTTGATTCGACGAATTGAATATTTAAAATTTTAAATTTGATTCGGTTACTATTGAACTGAGCTTGAGCGCGTCCGAGTAGTTCAAGTAATGAGTCTAGTTGATTTCAAGCCACTTAATACTTGGCTCAAGCAGTTCATGGGACTTAATCGAGTTTTTTAATTTTTTATTTTATACCTAATGTAGTTATAATATTACCAATTTAATGAATATATTTAGATATTTATGACAATATGTTACGAGTATAAAAAAGAGATTGTATTTAATTTTAAAAATTTGCAACAATCGGTTTGGTTTGCAGAAAATAATTGAAGAATGTAATTTAAATTCTATGGAATAAAATTTAGGGTGTGTTTGACCTATGGGTTTACACATTAAAATTGAGAATCAAAATCATAGTTAGTGTTTGGTTGACAACTTTTTAAAACACAACTATGAAATTAGTTACTATTGAACCGAGCTTGAACTCAATTAGTTCAAGTAATGAGTCGAGCCGAATTCAAGCCTCTTAATTAATACTCGGCTCAACTAATTCAAGAGACTAGTTGAGCTTTTTTATTTTCTAAAAAATATATTTTATACCTAATATAGTCATAATATTATAAATTGAATAGGAATGTAATTTAAATTCTACTTAGAACATTGATTCTATTATTTTGCTGGTATGAAAGAAATTACTGAAATATTAATTTTATTATTTGGTTAGATTTGAATTGTAAAGAATAATGGATATGTATAAAGATCAACATGCTAATACCGTACTGCATAATAAAGTGATTATAAAAGTAGTAGTAATTTATAAATTAAAACATTATAATATATAAATTCACAATATTACAATTATATATTTTATAATAATATAATAAATATTATTGTAACTATGTTGATGTTGGGGTAACTATTCCAGGCTTTCCTGAATGGCGAATGACGGGTTATTATGGATTTTATGAACGAATAAGACGTGCAGAGTCATGGGATCTTTTGAGAACGCTGTTGGGTAGGTCAAACCTCCCCTGGGTTGTTATTGGAGATTTTAATGATTTGTTATATCAGAATGAGAAGAGAGAGGGGGAAATCCGCATCCGAATAGCCTCCTACGCGGCTTTGGGGAAGCTATTGAGGACTGTGGGCTTGCTCAACTGCCTATGGTTGGCTATCCATACACATGGGAGAAGGGGAAGGGGACAGCAAACTAGATGGAGGAGAGGCTCGATAAAGTTCTAGTAACGGACGAGTGGCGGGGTATGGTGATGGGGGCTAAGGTGTTGAATCTGAGAACTCGGAAGTCTAATCACTCGGCTCTCTTTCTGGGGATTCAGGACTCCGGTGGGGGTGTTGGGCCTCGCAGAAGGGGTTTTTGTTTTGAGATGGCCTGGTTGCATGATGAGGGGTGCAGAAGTGTGGTAGAGCAGTCTTGGCAGGAGGGGAGGGGCCAGGGTTTGCAGAGCTGTATTCAGTATTGTGGGACCCGGTTAACACAATGGGGTGGAGACCGGTACCATAAGTACGGAAAACGGATTAATGAATTGACAAGAGAGCAGTAGCGTCTGAGGGGGCGTACTGACCCGGCCTCCCTAGCTGAGTTTCAGCGCCTAGAACAGCTGTTAAGCTGTGCAGAAGTTCAGGAGGATACATACTGGAGACAGAGAGCCAAGCAACACTGGCTTAAGGAGGCAGACGCTAATACGAAGTTTTTCCACAGGTATGCCTCTCACCGAAAAAAGAAGAAACTATTTCTAGATTGATGAATAATAATGGGGATTGGGTTGAGGGGGAGCCTATGAAAAATATTATCATGCAGTACTATAATCGTATTTTCTCTGCTGGAACCCTGGGAACTGGGGAGGATTTCTTTGAGGGAATTGTCCTGCGAGTCACGCAGGCACAAAATGAGTCTTTGTTGCGCCCTTTTAAACTGGATGAGGCTAAGAGTGCACTGTTTGCGATGTTTTCGGACAAGGCACCAGGCCCGGATGGAATGAATCCAGGGTTTTACCAGCATTTTTGGGATGTGGTTGGGGGTGATGTGGCGAGTTTTATAGTTAATTGTGTTGAGTCCTGTGATTTCCCGCCTGGGTTGACTGAGACTGATATTGTTCTAATCTCTAAGAAGAAAACCCCGGAGTATGTCACTGATTTGCGGCCTATAGCCCTCAGTAATGTGGTCTATAGAGTTATGGCAAAAATGTTGGCTAACAGAATGAAGCCATTAATGGAAGGGGTAATATCTGAGTCACAAAGCGCATTTATCCGGATAGATTGATAACGGATAATATACTACTAGCTGCAGAGGTGGGGCATTTTTTGAATAGGAAACAATGTGGAGTAGGGGGATGGAGTGCCCTTAAATTAGACATGGCAAAGGCATATGATCGGGTTGAATGGCCCTTCTTACGAAGGATGATGTTGGCGCTGGGATTTCATGCTGGTTGGGTGGAATTGATTACGAAGTGTGTAACCTCTGTCTCATATAATATTCAGGTGAATGGAGTAAGATGTGATCCTATTATACCCACTCGCGGAATAAGGCAAGGTGATCCTTTGTCCCCATATCTATTTATTATTTGTGCAGAGGGTCTATCTTTGATGTTGCAGCAGGCACATACTGTGGGATCGATACATGGCTGCAGGGTAGCAAGAGGAGCCCCCCGATTTCTCACTTGTTTTTTGCAGATGATAGTTTACTGTTTTTTAAGGCCAAGGCAGAGGAAGCAACTGAGGTTAAAAGGTGTCTGTCTGTTTATGAGAGTTTATCCGGGCAGGCAGTAAATTATCACAAGTCGAGTATATGTTATAGCAGAAATACTAGTGATGAGGATAGACAAGATGTGGCTCAGATTTTGGGTGTGGCACAGGCACCGAATTATGGCAAGTATTTGGGACTCCCCTCTTTTATTGGAAGGCACAAAAAAGCAGTTTTTGCGTATGTGGAAGATAAAATCCGTCAAAGGATTGGATCATGGAATAAAAAACTGCTATCACAGACAGGGAAAGAAATTCTTTTGAAAACTGTAGCACAATCTATGCCAACGTTTTCAATGAGTGTTTTCTTGTTACCTGTAACAGTGTGTACGGCGATAGAAAGAACGATGAATCGTTACTGGTGGGATTCTGGAACTGACAGGCGAATACACTGGAAGGCATGGGATAAGCTATGTGTACCAAAGAAGTATGGTGGGCTAGGATTTAAAGATTTGCGAGCATTTAATCTAGCGATGCTAGGAAAGCAGGCGTGGAGAATGTTGATTAAGCCTGACTCTCTAGTAGCATGCGTGTATAAAGCCCGGTATTTTCCGAAAGGATCGTTCTTTGGTGCACAGATGGGAAATAATCCCAGTTTCTGCTGGCGGAGCATCATGGCAGGAAAGAGTATTATTTGTGGTGGGGTCAGGCGCAGAATTGGTAATGGGGAATCCACATTCATATGGACCCACCCTTGGCTACGAAATGATCATGACCCAATGATACAAACAGAAATGCCAATACTGTTGAAGGAAACCAAGGTGGCAGGTTTGATAGACCAGCAAACTGGTGTCTGGGATCCCTCAATCTTAACTGATTTATTTCAACCCAGTGATGTGGCGGAAATTATGAAAATACCCATCTCCCCGGAATATGATGATACTTGGTACTGGCATGGGGATCTAAGAGGAGAGTACACTGTTAAAAGTGGGTATAAGCAAGTAGTGGGAAATTATCAACACACTAATGGGGTATTTACAAGGTGGTTATCCCTATGGAAATTAAAAATCCCCCAAAATGGAGAATGTTTCTATGGAGAGCCATTAGTGATATATTGCCCACTACTACAAACTTGCTTATAAAGAGGGTGGAGGTGGATCCAAGATGTGCCATGTGTGGAGTATTTCAAGAAGACACAATGCATGCTTTGATGTTGTGTGATTTTGCAAAGAACATTTGGGATAAAACTAACCTCACAATTCCAAATATAATCACAGATATTTTTTATGTTTGGTTTGATGAACTTCTAAATGTTCTAGACTCTGATGGGATATTCTATGCAGTAGCAATACTTTACAATATATGGAGAGCAAGGAACAGGGCCGTATGGGAAGCAACATTGCCACGGCCGGAAGTGGTCCTCAAAATAGCCGCTGCTGCCAAGCTGGCTTGGACTCGGGCGCACCCACAGCAACACACGGCACCGCCCACCACGCTCCTAGCAGCGCCAAATCCGTTGCAAGGGAATGCCAATCTCCATGCGCCAGATTCCACTGCTGCCGAACCACCTGGACTGCCAGGGCTCATAGTGTTAACGAATTGTTAAACAAGTTCACCGCTCGGTGAGGGTTCCAGAGGTCGAGAGTTCGATCCTCTCCCACCCCACTTTTTGTTTTGTTTTTATTTAAGTATTCTTCACTTTAATTATAAAATCCCACCTTATCTATATGGTTCTTATTGTGTAAATGGTTCGCTTACAAATATTTTAGTGAGTTTGGATCCTGTGGAGCTTGAGTTCGAGTTTTACCTGTCTAATTTTTAAGTATAAAAAATTATTTTAAATTTTATTTAGGAAATTTAATTTTTTAAGGAGGAATTATTATTATTATTATTATTATTATTATTATTATTATTATTATTATTATTATTATTATCTTAACTATATATATATAATAAAGCTATATGGTTTGGGAAGTAATTAATGTTACAATTAATGCCACAACGTCCTTATTAAAAAAAAAAAAAAAAAAAAAAAAACCACAACATTTGAAAAATAAAATAGTTATATATTATATAATCATATAAAAAAATGTACTTTTGAAAAATAAAATAGCTATATATTATATAATCATATAAAAATTGTGTTCAATTAGATTTTAAATTTACTCATACAAAATTTGAAATTTTCTTTCCAAATGTAATTATCTTAGTTATTATTCGTATTGTGAAAATTATAATATAGAAAATACAATTAAGAATAAATCAATATAATTATGTAAATTCTCTCTATAAGTTTATTTGAATATGCACATAATTAGAGATTATATTAACCATACAAAATTTTAATTTTAATTGTAATTTTGTATTCTATAAAAATAATAAATACTTGACCAATGGAAGCTCAAAAATATTATTATATTAAACAATTTAAAATATTTTAATTTTTCTATTTTTTATTTATATTTATAATAAGATAATTTTTTTCCGTGCATCGTGCGGGTGAATTACTAGTTATTATAATGGAACCAAAACAAACCTCATGCGTAATATTTTCTTGTTTAATTAAATAAACTAACTCAAAAAAAAAAAAAAAAAAAAAAAAAAAAAAAAAAAAAAACTAAAACTAAATTTGACATTTCTAATAACCAATTTGTACTTATCGCTGAAAATATATGTAGTTAAAATTTACTTATAATACATTATTACGTAGGAACATGAAATCGAAGGGGGTAAATGAACCAAGTTATTTGTTAACTATTCAAACTTGATTCGACGAATTGAATATTTAAATTTGATTCGGTTACTATTGAACTGAGCTTGAGCCAAATTAAAGTAGTTCAAGTAATGAGTCTAGCTAATTTCAAACCTCTTAATACTTGGCTCAAGCAATTCATGGGACTTAGTCGAGTTTTTTTATTTTTTATTTTATACCTAATGTAGTTATAATATTACCAATTTAATGAATATATTTAGATATTTATGACTATATGTACGAAAAATTTAGGGTGTGTTTGGCCCATGGGTTTACACATTAGGAATGAGAATCAAAATCATAGTTAGTGTTTGGCAATTTATATCGTGCACCAGGGCGCGCATTGCATTGTGCGCCCTGATGCAAAATGACGTCGTTTTACATAACTGTATAAAAAAATACACATAATTGTATACACAAATACACATAATTGTATAAACAAACACACATAACTGTATAAAAAAATACACATAATTGTATAAACAAATACACATAATGATATAAACAAATACACATAATCACGTCAACTCACTTCCGCGCCTCCCAAAACGACGTCGTTTTGGGAGGCGCGGGGCGCACAGTGCTACGCGCGCCGTGGTACATGGTATAACGATTGTTAGTGTTTGGTTGACAACTTTTTAAAACACAACTATGCAATTTGATTATCCCTTCAATAAAAAACCTCATTCCCTAATTTAAAAAGATATCATTTCATCTTATGGTAATATGATTTTTAAGTTTGCATTAGTCCTTTTAGATTTTTGTTTTGATTTTTTTTGTTCATATATATATATATATATATATATATATATATATATATATATATATATATATATATATATATATATATATATATATATATATATATATTGGTGCATTGGATGTTATTATATTATGATCAATTGCCTTGATTTTTTGTTTTTGTATTTTTAAAACCTTTATTTGAATTATAGGGTGGTCATACATAACCAATCATCAATATTAGTAATCAATCCAATTCCACACTACTATCAAACATACAAAATACTTTCACTAAAACCCATACCATTATCAAGTATTTGATTTCCATTCCGATTTTGATTCCCATATGCGAACCAAACACACTCTTATTTTGAAGATTGATTCCATTATTTTGTTGGTGGAAAAGAAAATTACTCGAATATTAATTCCATTATTTGGATAGGTTTGGAATTATAAAGAATAATGAGTATGTATAAAGATCATCATGTCCCTACATAAAAAAATGATACTAAAAGTAATAGTAATTTATAAATTAAAAAAATTATAATTTTAATGTTACAATATTATAATTATATATTTTATATTATTATAAAGAAGCTAAGCAACTTGTGCTCAGATGACATGTAATGATCTCTCTCATGTGGGAGGTCATGAGATTGAACCTCAGTGGAGGTGGACTCTTTGTGTGCTTCATTAGGTTTGAACATCTACTACAATGTAATAGAGTCTCTACAACTTCCCTCGCAACCAACCTTTTCAGGGCCCGCCAAGAGAGATACAATATGAATAGATCAAGGTAATAATTCAAGATTATAACAAGACAAAACTTTCCTCGCAACCAATCGTCGAGCATTCCAAAAGAGAGATACAATATGAATCGTCGGGTATAGACTATGGGCTATGTTTTACGAAAGTAAACTCAGACAACATTCATGCATTTTCGAATTCTGATTGATTGCGTGGGATATCATGATGACCGCAAGTCCGATCCACTAGTGATATTTTTATCTTTATTGGTAAAAATCTAATTTCATGGGCTTGCTGCAAGCAAAAGACAATTCCTCAGTTCCTAGATCATCAACAGAAGCTGAATAATTCTACCCAAAAAAAAAAAAAAAAAAAAAAAAAAACTGAAACTGAATACAAAGCTATAGCCGATGTCTCAGCAGGGGTAACATGGTTAGTTTATTTAAGTAAAGAACTTGGTCTTACTATGCAAAAACCACAAAAATTTTGGTGTGACAATCTTGGTGCCACCTATTTGTGTGCAAGTCTTGTGTTTTATGCTCGAACCAAACATGTTAAAATAAACTACCATTTTGTTCGTGACAAAGTAATTACATCATATCAAAGGAACTAGAAGTAATTAAACCAAATCTCTACAAGCCACTAACCACAGCAAGGTTCAATTATGATCTAAGGGAAAACTCAATATTCTCTCTAGATCATAGAACCTTAAACTTGAAGGTACGTATTAGGACTCTATGCTCTAGTTACACTAGAATTCTTTCTCCCTCTCTCTCTGTATTATTGTAAATCTACCTTAGCTTTTATAATTTATTAATTCATAATGACATGACTAAGACTCTTTGTATTCTTATAATTAAATACATCTCTTTCTATACTTGTAAATTGAATTGATCAAATTATATAATAAACTTCTCTCTAGAAATTCTTGTCCACATCCTCTCAAATATTCTTTTCTTACTTTTTTTTTTTTTGTTTTGTTTTGTTTTGTTTTTTTTTTTTTTGTTTTGTACTGATCGAATTTTCTGATCACCTGTGATACCTCATATTTTATGAGCGCTATACGAGGACTGTATGTGCGTACGGAGTTAATTTTATTAAATTCTCTTATCCTTGTTACCTAATTTTAATTTATTCCGTAGCTTACGGAGTTAATTTTATTAAATTCTCTTATCCTTGTTACCTAATTTTAATTTATTCCGTAGCTTGGACTCCAAATTTTACCAAATACTATCATAAATCCATTATTATCTCGAACCTACTATGCTATACTTCTTCTTACATTCAATATATATATATATATATATATATATATATATATATATATAAATAAGACACAAACTTCAATTCTTTGCATTTGGTCTCATTACCCTATTAGACTCATCAAATTGAACTATAACTTGTTCATTGGCCTTCTTTTTCAAGTTTATGCAAGTTTTGGGGCCTCTTCTTTTAGGTGTTGCAGAAGCAGAAGTAGGATCTAAAGTAGGAGTAGATGATTGATCAGTCATGGTTGTCTATATATACCTGCACAAACAAAAAAATATCAGTAAACGTGTTATATTGCATTTCAAGTCGAATAAAATACTCTAAAAAAGTTATCAAAGAATTCATTAATCTTACAACAAAAAATTGTGATATCCAATGGTCAACGCATAGTCCTTCTTCATGTTTTCTTCTTTCCTTTGTGTGGCCCACACAAGGGGACAAAGATCCCCAACCTCCTGCAACACCCTCATACATTATGGTCCTGTTTGGTAAAATGGCTGTTAGCTGATAGCTGTTAACTGTTAGCTGATTGTGTTAATTAGAGGGTATAAATAGTTGATAACATTAGCTGATTGTAGAAAAGTGTTTGGTAAATTAGTTGTTAGCTGATAGCTGTTTGGTATAATTTCTTTTCTCAAAAAGCTAATTGAAAAAGTTGCTTGGAGTAGCTTTTTGAATTTTAGCCTTTTGGAGTTGCAAAAAGCTAATTAACCAAACATTTATATTGATATTTTAACTAAATTAAACAATTAATAGTGGTCAAATAAGCCAAAATTGACCTATAGGCCAATTTTTTACCAAACAGGGCCTATGTCTCCTCCACTTCACACTTTTCTCCTCAAAACTTGGTCCAAAAGCCCCTAATGGGGTTGCTATTATATCATAGACCGTGGTTCACTGTACAAGTTAGACCAATTGCATAAGGTTAATTTTTAATATACTTAACGTTACTTTTAATACATTGAACGTTCTTTTTTTTTTTTTATGATTCATTTTTAATATGTTAAATTTTCTTATTGGTATACCATTAAAAAAATGAATTTTTAATATATTAAAAATGAACATTCATTATATTAAAAATGAACATTTATCAATAGTCCATAATGCAATGTGGACCATGGTCCTGCACATTTGCACCTTCTATAAGCATGCACCCCATATTTGGCTATAAAGTTTAAAAGTAATAAATTTTCTCTCAACTTAACAAAAATTGAATGTAGGAATAATATTCAGGTAGGCAACTGAACAAGCGAAAATGTAATTGAGTCATTCAACTCAAAAAAGAAAAATATTGCAATTGCGTTATTGACGATCTACTTCATGCAATTAAACCAAAGTTGGTATGTTCTGATATGACAATTACCTCATTACAAATTTATCTTTTAGTTTATTTTAATAATTAAAAATAAAATAAAAACCATCACTCAATGTCTTCGTCTCCGCCAAAAGACGAAGAAAACTCTTTTTTTTTTTTTTTTTTTTTTTTCTATGGCCTAGAGATAAAGAGAAACCTCTCATCTCTGGCCTGGAGATAAAAATAATGTCTTTGTCTCCAACGAAGACGAAAACCGGGCGAGGGTTGGATTTTTTTTTGTTAAATTTTATTTTAAGAACTAGTTTTTTACGCGCGTTGCGCGATTGGGATAATGCCTAATATTTTTTTTTTTAAATAAGTAAATTAAAGTATATCAAAGCAAGATTATATTATAATTGTTCATGCATAGATAATTTAATGTTAAATTTGCATATTTAAATAGTCAATTCTAAGTTTACAAATGCACGATAATATAGTCCAGATTAATTATAATTGTCAATAAAATAATTGTATAGGTATGGTTGAAACCAAATACGGGATATAAGGGAGAGCAAATAAAAATTAGGGCATAAAATATTAAATATATAATAATATTAAAGAGCTAACTGCTAATTGCCAAACAAGGACATTGCGAGATAGTTTCCCACTTCAATTTGTTGTGTGATTTGAATACTATTTTTGTCAATAAATTCCCAAAGTAGTTAATATGACTGGCTTAATCATATTTTTTTATTTTTTTTTAAAAAATTATTATTATTATTATTAAATATAGGTATACCTTTAGGTCATTTTACATGTTAATCTAAACAGCTTTTTTCAAATATCTTTTTATCAACCGTTGATATAATTCGCTGGTCAAATTCGCTAATAAAATCCGTTAACGCTAACCGCTAATTGCTGATTGTCAGACAAGGACATTGCTAGATAGTTCTCACTTCAATTTGTTGTATGATTTGAATACTCTCTTTGTCAACAAATCCCTCAAGTAGTTAATATGATTGACTTTATTATTTATATTTTTAAATTTGTTCATGGTATTAATAAAATACTTGGTAAATAAATATATAGCATTATTTTGTATTATAACTTTGATATTTAATTAAAAAATAGTGAACAAAAAAGATAATAGACAATGTAGTGAATATAATCAATTGATGAATTTGAATGTAAAGAATTTTTACATTGGAGAAAGATAAAGACAATATAACTAATAATATTATTTCTCTTAATTAATTTATTGATAATAATGAATAATGTTTTGTTTAATAAAGACATTGTACGGACAATGTAGCGAATATAATCAATTGATGAATTTGAATGTAAAGAATTTTTATATTGGAAAAAAATAAATACAATATAACTAATGAAATTATTTCCCTTATTTAATTTATTGATAATGAATAAATTTTTTTTTTTGAATAAAGACATTGTAGACACATAATTCTAAATTAAAGAAATGCATATGTATTATTTTTTGTTGTAGCTACTAAATTATTATTTAATTTAATAAGGGTAAAATAGAGTACTAATTATGCAAACTTTGAATGGGATAGAGTTCGAACCTAAGATCTTTCTTATTGAAATCAATGAATAAGTTAAAGGTGAACTAACAGAAATTAACGAAAAAGTTAATGGATAATCATATTCATTAAGGATAAATTAGGAAATCTTAAGGTAAAATTAAAATCTGATCAATCTGAGCCATTCATTTGATTAAAAAATTTGACCGCCATTTTTTCTACCCATTATAGGTCTAACTCTCTTAGACTGTTATTAGTGTATATATATATATATATATATATATATATATATATATATAGAATCGCACTCAGGTGCGAATGCTTCGCCCAGGCGCGAAATAGGAATGAATTCCGTTCGTCCACGTGTCTAGATCTAATGGATGGGAAACACTGATTTTTTTTAAAAATGCGGTGGCATTTTCGTAAATAATTGAACATCGAAGTGCAAGTAAAATGTATTACAAGTGCATGTAAAATGTATTATAGGTGCAAGTAAAAATTTACACTGAGCATCAATACTTAGTTGCACTTATAGTTCTAAGTAGTTGCACCTATAGTTCTAAGTAGTTGCACACATAATTATAAGTAGTTGCACCTAGGTGTATGAATGTTTGCGAGTGGTTTTTCGGGGTATTACTACCCGCTGAACTCAGATCAATGAATGTTAACAAGGCAAAATTACATGCACTTATAGGTGAAAGTAGGTGCACTTGTAAGTGATTTTACTTGCACTTCGATGTTCAATTATTTACGAAAATGCCACCGCATTTTTTTTAAGTTATTAGATCTGGACACGTGTCGCGCGCTGATTCGTTCGCATTTCCCTCCTGAGCACTTATTCGCACCTGAGTGCATCCCTATATATATATATATATATATATATATATATATATATATATATCAATGAATAAGTTAAAGGTGAACTAATAGAAATTAACGGAAAAGATAATATTTTACGGAAAAGTTAACGGATAATCATATTCATTAATGATAAATTAAGAAGTCTTAAGTAAAAATTAAAATCTAATCAATCTGAGCCGGAAAAGATAATATTTTACGGAAAAGTTAACGGATAATCATATTCATTAATGATAAATTAAGAAGTCTTAAGTAAAAATTAAAATCTTATCAATCTGAGCCGTTCATTTGATTAAAAAATTTGACCGCCATTTTTCTACCCATTATAGACCTAACTCTCTTAGACTCTTATTAGTATAGTAGATAGAAAATGACATTTTTCCCTGGATGAATTATACACTTATATTAAATTTTCTTCTTGAATTATTCATATATTGACATTAGTCCTCTCGATTATTTCAAAAGTGACTATTTATCCATCTTTTCATTAAATAAGTGTTTGGGATGTTAAAAATAAGATAAAACGGGTATTTCACTTGCGTTGTGATAATGATCTAAACATTATTCTTATTGAAGTTGTACTTAGCTTGTTATAATGGAGTAGTATTAGAGAGGGAAAGCAAATGATTTACTAGTTTTACGGTTTTAGCGATATTTTAAAAATCCCAAATACCTATTTAACGGAGGGGATAAATAACCACTTTTGAAATAATTGAGGAGACTAATATAGATATATGAATAATTTAAGAAAAAAATCGCCATATAATTAAGAGGGAAAATGTGTCATATTCTCTTTATTTTATTTAAAATTATTAAAATACATTAAAAATATACTAATTTTTAGTGGGATGATTGCCATGTTAGTGGTAACCAGAGGAACAAATCAATTTTGATTTAATTGTATAATTTTAGAGTGTTTAATGACTCGATCAATTGCACTTGGATGATCTAATTATATTTTCTTTTGTAGTTCAGTGCGGTATTTCATAATTAATCCTAGAAAATATTACAGGCCATTAATAATTATATATATATATATATATATATATATATATAAAATAATAATAATAATAATAATAATAATAATAATAATAAAAAAGAAGAAGAAAGTTTATGAGTGCAAACTTGTCCTATCAAGTGAAGAAAAAAAAACTTTTTTTCATAGAAAACAAAATAGAGTTAATACCCAAAATCGTCCTCGACTATAGTGGTTTTTCTCAATTTCGTCCTAAACGACTTTGGTGGCCTAATATCGTCCCAGACTTTTATGTTTCGCTCAATTTAGTCCTCCATTTGTTATTCCGTCAAATTGGTGTTAAATAAAGGGACAATTCAATAATGTCAATATTGATCTCTCTTTACTTTCAACTTGTGAAGTGCGAAATTCCTCTTTCTTGTACGAATTACACCCAGAATTACTCCCGAACATGCAAATCAAATTTTATATTCGCAGTTTTAGGAGTAATTCGTAAAAAAAAAAAGGGATTTCGCAGTTCACATGTCTATGAGTAAAGAGATGCCAATATTAAAATTACTGAATTGTCTATTTATTTAACACCAAATGGACAGAATAACAAATGAGGGACTAAATTGAGCAAAAATACAAAAGTCTGGGACTAAATTGAGCGAAACACAAAAGTCTGGGACGATATTAGGTCACCAAAGTCGTTTAGGACGAAATTGAGAAAAACCACTATAGTCAAGGACGATTTTGGGTATTAACTCAAACAAAATATATATTAATGTTTGTCTAATAAAACGTTTTCTTAAAATTAGAGAAATTTTACTTCCTTTTGGAAAATAAATTTCATGAATCAAACAATAAAAGATATATAGCGTTCTCTTAAATTATTTTAAAAAATTAACTTCCTTGAGAAATATATTTCATCCAATTAAGCATGTTATAAGTGTATGTAAAAGATGTCTTGTGGACTTAGAGCATCCACATTTGTTGGGGAGAATAGGTGGATAATGTAAGAGTGATTAGGAAAGAGAAGATGGGAGGGGAGAGAAAAAAAGGAAAAAAAAAAGAAAATTAAATTAAAAAAAAAAAATAATAATAAATAAAGACTGTCAAGCGCGCCTCTTGGCGCGCCTGACGCGTCTGGCGGGCGCGTGCACTGCTGTGGCGCTATGGTGACAGCCACACGTGGCTGTCACCAGTGATCCTTTAATGGTGAGTCCCACAATTTTCTGAAATCTTCCTTCATTTGCAGGCTGATTATTTTCACAAATAACTCCACCCCACATTTGTTATTATCCCTATTGAGAAGAATTCATTTGGGACTTGTGGGTGCCACTTTCATGCTCCAAATCAAACACTGCACGAAACTTCATGCTAATTATTGAAGTGGGTCACATTTAATTTCCAAAAGTATGTTTCTTGTAATAATGTTTCAACTTTTCGTCTGAAATTGGTGATTTCAATAAAAAGATAGCAGTCGTGTACAATTTTTCTATTGCAAATGCAGATGAAACCAATTTCACATTTGGCAGAAAACCAATATCTATGTACAGTGTCATGGTACCTGGGAGTTGTTGTTTTCAAGAGAAAAAGCTTCTTTTTTTTTTTTTTTTTTGAAGAAAGAGAAAAAGCTTCTTGACTTTATAAGGCTATCATTATTATATAATACTCTCTCACTTTTAAAAGTAGTTCTATTTTTACATTAATAAATTTACAATTTATTTAGTATTGACACAATGACACTACATCCTTACAAATCAAATCCATTATTAAAAATGAAATTTCAATATCACATGATTCACATCACTTTAAAACATTAACTCAACTTTTTTTAAAACAAATTGATGTGGAAGAGAGTATCACATCACATTAAAACATTAACTCAAAACTTTAAACATCCTCAATCATCCCTCATTGAGCTAGACTATGGCAATTTGAGAGCTATAAAAAGTTATTTGGGGGATCGGAGAAAAATAGCTATATGTCTTCTATGTTACCCATTGTTAGGATCAAACGCTTATCACTACGCCAACAGGTATAGCTGATATCGAAGGCACAACTTTATATATTTCCTTATAGATCGCCATTACATTTTCGAGAGGTAAGGTGTTGCACATGGCCATTTACCGACCTATGCTCAACAGTTCCCATATCACAACACTTGCCAATCTTAACTGCGCATACAGTTTTTGTTCTTAATGGGATTCGAACTCGATAGCGAATGACACAACTTTATTTCCTTATAAATCACGATCACATTATCGAGAGGCAGAATGCTGAATTTGACCTTTAATTTTACCATCAGTATCCGCTCAATAATCTTCCTAGCCACCAATTGATGATAGATTTTTCCCTTTTACCGACCTCCGCCCACTAAGACTCCTAACCACCAATTGATGGACTTGGCCCTTTACCGACTCAGTCCAACACCAATGATGCATAGGAAAGAATAGCCAAGAATCTTGCTTTTCTTATCCCATCTTTGTAATACGAAAGCAGCAAAAGAGGTCTTCACTTTCAAAATCCACCATAAAATGCAACACCACTGTATAATCTAAGTTGGGAACTGAACTATATATCATAAGAAATTCCATTCATATATATAATCTGATTTACAATATAAGAGTCAAGAAATAAAATTAATTATTTAGGAAAGACTGATGATATGATAAACTACATACTATAAGAATTAAGATGCATGGTAGATAGCAAGTATTAGTATAACTATCTTAATTTGTTCAAATTGAAGTGGAGCACTGAGTTCCCTGCTTAGAAATCAAGGGACCAGATGGCATGGAAACTCCAAAAGGCATCATGGCAACACAGTTTACATTAAACCTGTATTTCCCAGAAACCCAAGTCCCCACCTTCCATCTCAAATTCCCATTCACCTTAAGCATCAAAACTAACCTTCCAGCGCTCTGATCGCGCTGGACTTCATAGCTAAACGAAGGAGCCACGGGGAGGCCATTCCCAGCCACCAGGTAAGCCGAGAGAAGGTTAGATTCCTCGTGGCCTTGATAGAATGGTGGGAGAGAAGTATAGAGAGTGATCTGCTGCCCCTTGTAGGATGCATAAACTTGAATCTCATCGTAGTAGATACCCACTTTTGTGTTGGGATTCTTGGAGAGGAGGGTGAGTTGAATGGAGGAGTTGAGGAGGCGAGGAGACGAGAGGTTGAGCTGATAGATATCGGCTTGTGTGAGGGAGAAGTGTGGCTTGGAGGGGTGGAGAGTGAGCCAGACAAGGGTTATGATTGAGAGAATAGAGAGTAGCAATGTAAAGATGGTGAAGAAGATCTTGTTCTTGAATCTCAACTTTTGAATAATGCTCAAGTCTCTCTTGGCACAGTGTTTTGGAGACTTACTAATGTCTGTTATCTGAGACATATTTGCCAAGCTTGCAAGAAGCCAAGTAGCCGAGGAGGTGGCCTGGGATATAATAATATAAGGAGTATAGTTTACAATGCTAAGGAATAAGAGATGTTGGGGTTAAATAAAGGAAAGTCCTACCTCCTAATCATGCACAACTAGTGGTAGAAAGAAGCAATTATTTGCTTTTTGACTTACCAGATATTCTTGGTTAGTTGAGGTTGAGTGTGTGTGTGTGTATATATATATATATATATATATATATATATATATATATATATATATATGTGTGTGTGTGTGTGTGTGTGTGTGAATTTCTTAACTGCTAAGAATGTTGAGTAATCTCACTTTACTAAAATTTTGATCAATTTCGTTTTATTTTGGTATCTTTTAGTTGCTCAATCAGTTTGTGGACGTATCATGGACACAATTGTTTGGCTAATATTAATCACTTTGTTTCTAAATTCCTTTATGTTTATCACAATGTTTTGGATTTGTCCCGTATAGCAAAAAGTTTGATTATATTTCTAATAGAGGCCAGTTCAAATCGACAGTTATGCCATGGACTCGGATCCACCTTGCAAGGTGGAGTCAAGTAAAAAATATGCCCTAACTGTTGGCAAATTATTCTGTGGACTCAGGTCTATGACATAACTATTGCTAACTGTAACAGACACCTTTAAGCCCGTACCATATTCAGACTAATCTACATTCTCATTGGGCTGGCCCAATTAAGGGCAAAATGTTGACTAAATCGATTTTTTTATACGAGAGGGGGTTGGCACTTCCGACCTCCAATCGTTATACCCTACACCACGGCGCACATAGCACTGTGCGCCGCGCGCCTCCCAAAACGACGTCGTTTTGGGGTCGTTTTGGGAGGCGCGGAATTTGTATGTATTATGTTAATAGTTGATGTGTATTATGTTAAAAGTTTATGTTTATTATGTATTATGTTAGATTATGTGTATTATCTTTTAAAAAGAGTATGTATATTTTGTTATATAATTATGTACATTCATGTATACAATTATGTGTATTCTAGTATAACATTATGTACATTCTTGAATAGTGGGGTTTTTTTAAAGAAAAAACTACTGCCATTCACTGGGGCGGGAAATTTCAAAAAAAATAAATAAATTAAAACGACGTCGTTTTGCATCTGGGCGCATAGTGCAACGCGCGCCGTGGTGTAGGATATAAATTGCCTCCGACCTCTCTTAAAGGATGAGAGTGCCTGACCACTCAGGTTAACCAAGCTACTTCCCTATACACTTTCATTGTCTAATCGTTTTTAATATAATATTTCAACTCTTTGACGGTTTTAATTATATTTTTGTTTTTATATCTCCTAAAAAGATCACAATTATACCCTTTAAACCTTTAAATGAAATGGGTTCAAGACATCAAGCAACTCCAACAACTCCAACAAGTAAAAGACAAATACTTCTAGGTGGAAAGACTTTAAACACATGTCGCTTGCTTAACTCTGCCCAAAATTTTAAAGTCTATTAACACTTAATTAGCACAAAAATTTACTTCTCTATTAATATACATTGATCTACTAAAAGATTTTAGTGTTAATTAAGATGTATATTACATATATATCCCTTACTTTTCATTCCCAAACATGATAATTGACCATTAATATTTAGTAAGGAGACTTTTTTTTTTCCCCTTTTGTTTGTTTGTCCTTTCAATCCCAATCGTTAATGTAGAGATAGTGATTGGGGATCACTAATAATGGCGATTTGCTTCTCTTTTCCGATGTAGGGTTGAGACATATCCTACCATGAATATACATACACTTGTGGGATCTATGGGTATCGTCATGCAAAGTTTCACAATAAAGTATATCTCCAAAGTTTTGCTCTTACTTTAATTTGTTAAATGTGATGATGGGGGTTGAGTGAAATAGAAGCTACATAGTAGATAATGGATACCGGGATATCTTTTTGCTCCCATGCATCTAGAATCCCAAGGTGGAACACTTTTTGGAATAATTGGAAATTTTAAAAAAATAAAAAAATTGAGGCTTTAAAGTGTCCAGAGATAGAATAGTAATTGCTTAATTTTCATAATTTTAATTTTCTATTCCTTTTCAAAAAATAATTATAAATGATATAATATTTTTTAAAAAATACTATATATTTTTATCAAAATGTCTATTAATTTTTTGTTTATTATATTGTTTATGAATTTTTATTAAATAATGAAAGGAAGTTAAGATTATAAAATTACTAAACTGTCCTTGATTACTTAATTATATGACTAAATGTAGCCAAATTAAAATTTAAAAATACAACAATAGGGGCTAGACTAAGCAAGACAAAACGTTGAAATTTCTCTCCCTTATTATTAGCCTTTCCACTTCATTGGAATAACAAATTATATTATGTATTATGATCTACATTGCGATATGGGTAATTGATAAATGTTTATTTTTGTATATTGAATATTCATTTTAAATGTATTGGAAGTTCATTCTTTGGAAATATACTTAAAATGGACATTCACTACACAGAAAATGAATATTCAATGCACTAAAAATGTACATTGCATATACTAATAATGAACTTTATGTCAATGACCCATCTTGTAAGGTGAACCATAGTCCATATGTATAATGATTGCATTGGAATAAAGTCCTCTTTGACTTTCACTACTAATAGATCGACAAATTATTGTATGGACCGTGGTCCACATAACTGTGTGGATAGGACCAAGGTCCAAAACAACTCGTTTTGATGTTAAAAATAAATTCCTTACTCCGCGAGCTGCATGTTAGAATAATGAAAATTTTAGGGTAAGATAATGTATTTTATGAGTTATAATAATGTACTTTATGTATTAGAATAATGTATTTTATGAGTTGGAATAGAAATGAGATATATGGGCAAGTATATGAGCCTAGTAAGTAGTAACTCAATATCTTCAAGCAAATTCATCAACCCTGTAATTCCTCTGTGAAAGGAATATTCCTTTCCGGAAGTAATTCACCTCAATGCCTAAAAAAATACTTCAACAATCCCAAATCTTTAGTGCGAAACATATCTTTAAGAAAGGATTTAAGTGCATCAATCCCTTCGACATAATCCCCTATTATCATTATATTATTAACATACACTATCATAAAATACATTTATTGTTAGTATGTTTACAAAATACAATATGATCACAACCACTCTTACGCATACCAAACTCAACAAGTGCACTAAATGTCCCAGACCATACAGGCAGAGACTACTTTAGGCCATACAAGGACTTCTTCAATGTACATAGCTTGCCAAACACCCCCTCCCCTTGAGTAATAAAGATGAGAACTGTATAAACTGTATTAGATGAACGATGCATTCAAAAAAAAGTATTAGATGAACGATAATTACAACTGTACATATTGATAGAATATATACAAGAGAGAATCATAGGATGACTAGGATAGGGAGTCAAAATGTGACTCAAATACAAAGAGTCTTAATACTCCCCCTCAAGTACATGGTATACTAGTAACATATAGCTTGTCTCTAAGAAAAGAAAATATAGAGTTAGGTAAAGCTTTTGTAAATATGTCTGCAAGTTGATCTTTTGTGGAGATAAAATTAACTTCAATGTCTCCAGAAGTAACTTTATCTCGAACGAAGTGATATTCAATTTTCGCGTGCTTGGTACGAGCATGGAAGATGGAATTTGCACACATATAAGTAGCACCAAGATTGTCACACCATAACTTTGGAATAGATGTACTTGACACTTTAATCTCTCGCAGCAAGGAGACTATCCACGTAACTTCGGCACAGACATCTACTCGGTCGAGTGGCGACGAAAGACGGCGCAGCAACCAGCTACTCGGCGGGCTGTGTGCGCCCGTTAGAAGTACCCGCGGGGTCCATGGACTCGTGAGGGTCTCCCGCGGGCGGGACTGGCGGGACCTCTCCACCCGCCGGTTTCTCTTGTGGAGCCGTCATCACAGCAATAGCAGTGTCATGTAGGATCGATTCTGCCCATAGAGTGGTTTGAGGAGTCTGTGGTGTCTGCAAAATACTTTTAGTAGCAAATGGAAAGATAGCCTCATCAATCCACACATGTCTGCACACATAAACCTTATTAGTCTGTAAGTCCATGCACCTATAACCCCGGAATGACTCAAGATAACCTAGAAAGACACAGGGAGAATCTGTAGGACATCTTGTGGCGATTATATGGTTGCAAATATGGATAACATAGGCACCCAAAGACACGAAGAAAAGAGTAGGATGGAGCGGATTTATGCAACTTATGGTGAAGACTGAAGTTATTTAAAATACTAGATGACATTCTGTTAATTAAATATACAGCACTCTCAAAAGCAAAATCTCATAATTTATACATAACAGAGGCACGAGCCATGAGAGTTAGACCCGTTTCAACTATGTGTCTATGTTTTCTTTCGACAGGACCATTTTGTTCATGAGTGTAGGCACAAGATTGTTTATGAGTGATTCCTAACTAGGGATGGCAATTTCAATCCGACCCGTGGATATCCACCTGAATCCACCCCGCATGGATCGGGTTTTTTTGGGTGATGGTGGGTGGTGGGTAGGGGGTGGGTCTTAAAAAAGAAAACCCGCGGTGGGTCGGGTTGGATTCGGGTTCTATGTACAAGACCCGCCTAGAACCCCACCCGACCCACCATGTGTGTGTGTATATATATATATATATATATATAATAGTAAAATAAATACTAGTATGTAGTTATTTATAATAGTTTATATAACTCCGTGTATCTTTTTACTATTTTTTATATCAAAACTACTAAGTTTATTTTTAAAAATTAACAATTTAGTTATTATATTTAAATATTTCCATTATTTATGTTTTAGTATCACTAATGGATTTTATTTTTTTATTATGTGTAAATAATTTAAATATTATTTTTGAAAAACATAATAAGATGATAAGTGGTGGATACCCGTAGTGGGCACCCGCACTCGGTGGGGGTGGGGGTGGGTTCTGAAAAAGTCCACCCGATGCGGGTTAGAGGTGGGGGTGGGTGGAGAAAATATAAGGTGGGTCGGGTGATGGATGTAGCCCTCCCCGACCCACACCCGACCCATTGTCATCCCTATTCTTAACTGGAAAAAGGAGTGGTGTAATTTTGTTTATTCAGCTCCTAGGTCAGATTGAATGGATTTAATTTTTCTAATGAAGGAACGCTCAACCATAGTACCGAATTTTTTAAAGAAATGGCATAAAGATCAAATTTTAAGTAAATATATTTTAGGAGGAATATAGTATTTATATGAAAAACTATATAAAAGTTAATGATATTAATTTTTTAATAGAAATAAAAAATTCTTGTGTGCTTTCAAAAAAATAAATAAATAAATAAAATTCTGGTGCAATGAGATGTAATGTTAATTTTTATATTATTTTCTCTGTTATATTACTATTCATAAATTCTTTTCAAATTTGCTTATTCTTTCTTCTTTTCCCTTTAAATTTTCTGCACATCTATAAATAACATCATTAAATATAATAAGTTGTAAATTGTGCTTACTTTTTTTACGATTATTTTCAATATTACATGTCTTCAATTCATTATACATAATATATTAATTATTATTTATATCAGTTTTCTCCTTTATACTTTTTTAAAAAAAAATTTCTTGTAATATATAGTTACACTATACGTGTTTATAACTAAGTTTTAAGTATAGGACCAAACTTTTAAATAGAATAAACGCAAACACTAATTAGTTGATATGGGAAAATAAAATAAAAGAATATTGAAGACATGATTAGAAAACTTGGGTCATTCTTAATTAATACTGGGTAATGATTTAGGTTTGTACAAACTAAAAGAGGATGAAGACATATATGGAGATCGAATCTGAAGAAAATGACTTCTACAGAAGGCTGTGGGGCTGCCGTGTCGAACTCACCCTGTAAAGCATTTGCTGTTTACTTTTTGGTTAAGGAAAGTGCCCGAAAGTAGTATTTTTTGCTCCTTTTGTTTATTTTTTAATATTGATAGAGAAATAAGATAAGCACCCGACCTGGGCCACCAACAAGTACTTGACCCGGAACAACATCAAGAAATCTAACGGGCAAAATCATTTACTGCGGGATCATTTACCACTACTGGAAATTATGGAATTTCCGATCACCTGAAAGTGATCTGAAATCAAGTCGAAAGTCTTGTTCCGATCACTTTTGGTATCCGGAAAAACCTTTGTTGCTATTTCCGACCATTTTTTGATATCAACTTGATTTAAGATCACTTTCAGGTGGTCGGAAATTCTATAATTTCCACTAGATACTACCGCTCATCATTCCAGACAAGGTTTAAGAGAAATAAAGTGTTCGGCTTCTCATTATGATGTAACCGTTATTTATGACTGAGGCTGGTATAAGTAGGGAATTCTTGGCTGAGCAGCGACATTCTATTTCTTGTACCAAAACACTTAGGCAATACAACTTGTAGTCATCGATTATATTCTTCGATAATATATTTACCGTCAAATATCATCAAAGGGTCAATAGGAGCTGGCTATATGGCATCATTCATTTTTGTGATATATGATACAAAAATTTAATGGTTAGTCTTGTGTAAAACTTCCTCACATAAGACAGATAATATTTTTTAATGAAAATATTATATTTTTATACTGACTCATAAACAAATACTCTGTATTCAATTTTTGTTAAAAGATACTGGGGGCGTTTGTCAATTAACTGATAATGGATAGTTGATACTTTATTGTGTTAGCTGGTTTGACTAGCAAATAGTATTAGCTGGTTATAGAAACATGTTTGATAAATTAGCGATTCACTCTTAACTGATTAAATGTAAATTGAAATATAAAGGCATAAGTATATTGTGCTATTTACGTAAGTCTTAAAGTAGTTTTTACAATTTATTGTTATCGTTGTATTATTATTAATTACAATATATATATATATATATATATATATATATATATATATATATATAAAGAAAAAAAATACATTTGAAAACAAAATAAGAAGCAAAAATACTTTTGAAAAAGATTTATTTTTAATAGGCGCTGTGTCTCTATGATAAAGGAAATATGATGACTTGATGATCAGCAATTAGATGTTTAATTACCTTAATTATTTAGCTAAATGCATTAATGAATTTGACCAATTAATTCTTCTAAAAGGTTGAACTCCAACCCGGGCAACTTGACCAATTAATTACATTAACCATTAGTTGTTTGAATTTAACTTGAATTGCAAAGTGACATTTAAAGATATTTCGTATTTTTCATTTAACGATATTATTAGTACATTTAAGGAGGTATGTGTAAAATTAGAAGGAATGCCTTTTATTACATTCCAAAAATTAAAAAAATAATAATAAAGAACTTTTAAAATAAAACATATATAGTCAAAACATTTGAGATAAAATAAAAAGTTGTTTACGAAATACTAAAGTTAACTTTTTGACCTAGACAAATTGATCGTCAAAATATCTTTAATGTTGTTTAGTCCCTAAAGCACTCTTTCCTCTCACCATAAAGTAATAACATTTAAAAAAAAAAAATTGTATTGTTTAGCATGTAAAATTTACATACAATCGAGGTCATGGTTTATTGGTTTTGACCATTAATTTATTTTCTAGGTTTAGTGTACCACTTTCATTAGAATAGTTATTTGGACATGCAATCCCTAGCTAAATTAGTCGAAGATTAATAATTACAATATTTTAAGTTTGACATTCTATGAGAATTGTTTATTAGTTTTAAATTCTTTAGCGTATCATATTGAACATCATTGAAGTTTCCAGCAATATATGTGCAATCATATATAATTCTTATTTTCTACGTTTATCGTATTCTTTTTCTAGGGTGTGTTTAAAAGCTAGGAAGAGTCATTTTCCAGAAAATATTTTTATTTATAGTGTTTGGTTGCATTTTAATTAGAAAATTGTCTTAGTGTTTTGGTTCTTTTTTCGGAAAATGAGAAGAACTGTATAATTAAACCCTTTACATTTTTGTTTAGAATATAACAACATTTATAATAATAATATAAATGGTGGTAGTGTGGTGGTGTTGGTGGTAGTGTTGTGGTGGTGGTGATGGTAGTGTGGTATTGGTAGTGGTAGTGTGGTGGCGTTGGTTGCGATGGTGGTGGTGGTGGTGGCAGTAGTGGTCGTAGTGATGATGGTAGTGGTGGTGGTGGTGATGGTAGTGTTAGTGGTGGTGATGGTGGTGGTGGTGGTAGTGTTAGTGGTGGTGGTGGTGGTGGTGGTGGTGGTGGTGTGATGGTGGTGGTAGTGGTAGCTAGTGGTTGTGATAATGGTAGTGGTGGTTGTGGTCTGGTACGATGGTGAAAATGGTGGTGGCAGTGGTGTTGATGGTGATTGTGGTGGTGGTAATGGTGTGGTGTTGGTGTGAAAATTGGTAAATGACATCATATGCTCTTTAAGAAATTAACAACCCTTCTCCCCTTATTTATTTATTTTGTGAGTCTAACTATTTCATATCACCCTATAATCTTCATTTTTCTATAATTAATAATTTCAACTTTATAGAAAATGTTTGAGAAAATTTAGAATAGATACTACTCCGTACTTTGTAAATAATAATGAGTATTTCACACACACACACACATATATTCTAATTTCAATTTTAAAATAAGATAATTTAAATAACGAAATAAAATATTTTTTTTGATTTTATAAAATAAAATTTCATAAATTTAATTTAAGCAATTAAACTTGAAATTTCATAAAAATATTAAATATCTATACGAGTGGAATTTAAATTAAACTTGAAATTTAATACATAAATAAAAAAAAATACAAAATCATAAATAAAATAAAAATACAAAAGCATAAATAAAATGAAAAATTACATTGAATTATTGTGGATATATCTTCTATATGATATTGTCGCGAACTATTTTGTGATTTCCTAGTTGTCTTTCGTCATTTATGAAGTATCTTTATTCAATATTTCAAATTCCATTACCCCCGCGTCTTTCTTTTGCCAATGCGCTCCTTTCTTTTTGTAGCAACGATTTTTTCTATTGCCATTGCGTATTTATCAATTCTTGCTCCTAGTCGATCGATAGCGGGTTCAGAATTTTCCACTTTGCCTTTATCTTTCCTCTTGGCAGCCTTTTATCCAATAGGACAAAATTAATACTATCATATTCAATTGCAGCGGGCATGTATTGTTTGGGTGATGACGTTTTCGATTTTTTTGTTGTGCGCATACTAGATGACATATCGGAATCTAAAGACATCATTGAATAATGGCGACTCATTAAGGACGTTTATTTCATCACGAGATCCTGCAACCCCTAACAATACGTGCCAAATACACAAGTCGTGTGGTATGATCGCTTCAAGCATAATAGTTGGTACTTTGTGATCACCGGGTGTGAATTGTCCCTTACAAGCTACTGGGTAATTTTGTCACTCCCAATGTATACAATCAAGACTTCCCAACATTCCAGGGAAGCTATTTCTTTGTTTGTGCATGTGAACTAATTGTTAGATATCGGCTGCGGTGGATCTTCACAAGCATTGGCCTCCAAATACTTGTAACACAGCACGACAAACACCCATACATAGATACTCATCCATTACATCAGCTGGTGACCCATATACTAACTAACGAAAGACAGCAGTGCATTTCTGAAGTGGTGATAAACTTCAATTCTTCTTACGGTAGCATCCACCCGTTCTTGAAATAATTTAAACCCACCCTCTACTGCATGAACTATACGCAAAAACAAATGTTTTCACATTCAATATTACGGAATTGAATTGAGAAAAGAAAAGAAAAGGCCCTCTTACTCAGCCTTAGAACCTGAGAACTTGGAAAGAGAACCTTACAGAGAGTTTTCATACAATGCTTGGCAATGTAACAGTGCTTCTGTGTATAAAACTAAGCTAACAGAATACTAATCTTCTAACTGCCTTAACTGCTAACTACTAAGGGGATTAACTAACTAACTAACTAGATATTAATCCTCTAATACCCCCCGCAAGCTGGAGTATACATAAAATATAATCCCAGCTTGGAAACAAACTTCTAAAACACCATTGGTTGTAGGGGCTTAGTAAACATGTCTGCTGTCTGGCTTTCAGTAGGAACATGCAGCAACTTTATGACTCCTTTTTGGATCTTTTCCCTTATCAAATGACAGTCGATCTCTACATGCTTGGTTCTTTCATGAAAGACAGGGTTTTCTGCCATGGCAATGGCAGACTTACTATCAGAAAACAATACAGCTGTGTCTTTCAAGCAGACCTCTAAGACTTCAAAAAGGTAGAACAACCACTGCATTTCACAAGTAGCAAGGGCAAGAGCTCTATATTCAGCTTCAGATGGTGACCTTGAAATGGTATTTTGCTTTTTAGACTTCCAAGATATTAGAGCATCTCCTAAAAAAACATAGAAGCTAGTGACAGACTTCCTTGTATCAGGGCAAGTTGCCCAATCTGAGTCAGCAAATCCTCTTACTTTGAGCTGGGAATTTGCAGGAAAGAACAAGCCTTGTCCAGGGGAATTCTTGATGTATCTTAGGACCCTGTGAGCTGCCTGCAAATGAAGAGTAGCGGGGCTGTCCAAGAATTGGGATAATTGCTGTACAGCAAAGCAGATATCAGGCCTAGTGATAGTTAAATACAACAGTTTTCCTACCACTTTCCTGTACTGGGAGTTATCCTCAAGATCTGTACCTCCATCCTTTGAGAGTTTGTTGGTCTGAACCATGGGGCATCTCACAGGTTTGCTCTCAAGGGAGCCTGTGTCTTGCAATAGATCTAAGGCATATTTTCTTTGTGTTATAGATATTCCTGTGTGATTTCAGGCAACCTCAAGTCCTAGAAAGAACTTCAATTTACCCAAATCCTTAATCTGAAAAACTGTATGCAAGTGATCTTTAATCTGCTGTATCTGATCCTTGTTAATGCTGGCCAGAACTATATCATCCACATATACCAGTAGTGCCACAAAACTACTGCCTGATCCCCTAGTAAACAAGGAATTGTCACACACTGCTTGTTTGAACCCCATGTGAAGCAGTTCAGTAGTCAGTCTAGCATTCCATTGTTTACTTGCATGTTTTAGGCCATAAAGAGACCTATTTAATTTGCAAACTTGTCCAGGCTGCTTAGGAACAAAGCCTGGGGGAAGGATCATATAAACTTCTTCTTGGAGATCTCCATGAAGAAAAGCATTGTTGACATCAAGTTGGTGTAACTCCCATTGTTTGACAGCTGCCACAGCCAGCAAGGTCCTGATAGTAGTGATTTTAGCCACTGGACTGAAAGTATCTACATAGTCAATTCCACAAGTTTGGGTGTACCCCTTTGCAACCAACCTGGCCTTGCACCTTTCAACTGTCCCATCAGGTTTATACTTGACTTTGTAAACCCATCTACACCCTATTGGTTGCTTGAAGGGTGGTAATGTTGTCAATTCCCATGTATTGTTGGCTTGCAAAGCCTCTATTTCTGCCTGCATAACAATCCTCCAACATTCATGCTGAATGGCTTCATTGTAAGACTTGGGCTCTTTGATCCCAAGAATATTGGTGGCAAAGGTTCTGAAACTTGGGGATAGCTTTTCATAAGACAGGACAGTGGATAGGACATGAGGAGAAGTCCTATAAGTAGATAAGTTGCAGTTATAATCCTTGAGATAGCCAGGTCTTGAAGTCTGTCTGCTAGACCTCCTAGGCTGTGGATTGAGCTGTGGCTGTAGAGAAATGATCCTTGAATCTGAATTAGATTGTGGTGAAGCAGACTGTTCTAAATCAGCATTATTTTGAGCAAGACTGGGTACAGAATCATCAGGTTCTGTGGGGGCACACTCACTTCTTATTTCTTCCCTTTGAACACTCTTTTGCAGACTTTCTTCTATGTTGCTGTTATCACTTGGGAAAATAAGATCCTGACAGGATCCTTGAACATCCATCTGATTTGCTACTTTGTATGGGAAGATGCTTTCATAAAACACCACATCTCTTGAAATAAACACTTCCCTAGTGTTTAAATCAAACAGTTTGTATCCCTTTACCCCATTTGGATAGCCAAGAAACAAACACTTTCTAGCTCTAGGTAAGAACTTCCTTTGATATCCCTTCTGAACAGCAGCATAAGCTAGGCAACCAAAAACTTTGAAGTGACAATATTGTGGAGCCTTTTTGAACAGGACCTGATGTGGAATCTAACCTTTTAAAGCTGCTGAAGGGAGTTTGTTAATGATGTACACATCATGTAGTATGCAATCTCCCCAAAAACTTTCAGACAAGCATGCTTGGAACTTAAGAGCTCTTGCAACTGCTAGAATTTGACCATGTTTTCTCTCAACTACACCATTTTGCTGTGGTGTATAAACACATGTTGATTGGTGGATGATGCCATTCTCTTGGTAGAAACTTCCCATCTTGAACTCTTGTCCATTATCTGTTCTTATGCACTTGACCACTTTCCCAAACTGTGTCTTAGTAAGAGCACAGAAATTCTGAACCAGTATTCTGGCTTCAGCTTTGTGTCTCATCAAATAAACCCATGTTGCCCTGCTATAGTCATCCACAAGGGTTAAAAAATACTTGTGCCCATACATAGTGTGTGTATGATATGTCCCCCCAGATATCAATGTATACAAGATCAAAGCAATCATTGGAAACAGTTGAACTGTTAGTGAAGGGCAGTCTTTTTTGCTTGGCTAGATGGCATATATTGCAAACATCCTCTTTATTTATTTTCAAATCCATGTCATACAGAGGTAATTGTTTCAATTTTTCATAGGAAAAATGTCCTAATCTAGCATGCCAAATTCTACTGGAAATACAAACATTGGCCTTAACATGCTCTACTTAATTGAAGACAGAAAAATCAGGTTTTACAAGATGATATAACCCTCTCTGCAGTCTAGCCAATCCAATCATCCTCCCACATCCCTGATCCTGTATAACACACAAATCATCATACAGTAGCAATTTGCACTTGGAAGCTCTAATTAATTCACTAATAGAGATCAAGTTATAGTGGAATCCAGGGACACAGAACACATTCTCTAAAACCAAGCTGTCAGCACAAATAGATCCAACATGTGTGATTTTAATCTTATCACCATTGGGTAATTCAACAAACATGCCTTCAACTACCTTAGCATTGGTCAGTATATCAGGTTTGCAAACAACATGATGTGTAGCCCCACTATCTAATATCCAATTAGAAGGTTTAGAATGAGTACCTTCCATCTGTAGATTGGGAGCAAATTGGCAGCAATCAAATTGGTTTGGGGTGCTATCCCTTCAGATCCACTGAGAGGTGATGAGCTTTGAACTTTACAATCCCTCTGCAAGAGCTGTCTAAGCATTCTAAATTCATCCTGACTGAAAGTCAGGGATCCATTTTCACCAGGATGTTCATCAGATGTAAACTGCACTTGGTTAGCAGAACTAACATTTCTACTTCTTGGTTTCCACCCAGGTGGATAACCATGTTTCTTGTAACATTTCTTTGCTGTATGTCCAGTGAACCCACAATAAGAGCAGATAGGTTTCTTGTTACCATTTGAGTAAGACTTCTTGAAACCTGAACCATTCCCTTGAGTAAGGAGAATGCTGCCTCGCTTCTTGGATCTGCAAGTCTGCTGTTCCACAGTTAAACCTCCTCTCTTGTTGTTGAATCATCATAAAGGCCTCATCAACAGTGGGGAGGGGTTTAGTCATCATTATCTGGGATTGGACAGAGGCATAGGTCTCATTGAGACCTCTTAAGAAAACTGAGAGATTATCACTCTCTAAATGCTGCTGCAAAGTATCTAACAGGACACAATTGCACATCCTCTCACACTTGCAAGTAGGCAGAGGTCTAATAACTTGAAGTTCATCCCATAAACTCTTTAACTTTGCAAAATAAGCACTTACAGTTAGATCACCTTGTCTAATTTGATGAATCTCAGCATGCAGATCGGAGATTCTGAAGATATCTGCCTCGCTGAACCTAGACTTCAATGTGGTCCATATCTTCTCGGCTGTTCCTACCCAAAAGACTGTCTGCGCGATTTCTGGGGAGATCGACCTCATAATCCAAGTTGACACCATGTTATTGCATCATTTCTAGTAAGGAAATTTCACTTCTCCTACACTTGGCACAGCAATGGTGCCGTCAACAAACCCTAACTTGTTCTTGGACAGCAACGCCATCTCCATTGCCCTGGCCCAGGGATGATAATTCCGGCCATTAAGGACTGAAGAGACAAGGACGAGCGAGGGATTCTCACTCGGATGTAGGAAGAAAGGACTACCAGCGTCATTTGGATCGAAATTCACTCCGGTAGTGTTAGGATTGCTCGATGGTGCCGCAGCCGGCGGAGGAGCTGTTGCGGCTGCTTGTGGTCTGATCGGTGCGCCGTTCCAAGCCATGACTGCAGCTCAGCGCTCTGATACCATATTACGGAATTTAATTGAGAGAAGAAAAGAAAAGACCCTCTTACTCAGCCTTAGAACCTGAGAACTTGGAAAGGGAACCTTACAGAGAGTTTTCATACAATGCTTGGCAATGTAACAGTGCTTCTGTATATAAAACTAAGCTAACAGAATACTAATCTTCTAATTGCCTTAACTGCTAACTACTAAGGGGATTAACTAACTAACTAACTAGATATTAATCCTCTAATATTCGAAAACGTCTATGGAACAAATTATCCAAATAGATGGGAGCATCGTTAAAGTAATCATTGAACTAAACGATCATGACCACTCTCACAGTCCAGGTTGATGCATGTACCTTCGAGAACGAGTAGATCGTGAAGAAGATGCACTCCATTTTATCAATATTTGAATTGATTGTTCAACCAAATAGTTGCCAACATCCCAATTATCATCACTGAAATGTTCATAATCACTAGACATTTTGAATTGGGAGACATTGAGATGAAGTGTAATTTTAAAATAATATATTAAAAGAGTAGGATTGTAGAAAATTTTTTGAATAGAAATGGTGGTAGGGGGTGGGGGATAGGTTGTTCCCCTCTCCGCGTCTCACGTGGTTTGTGAGCAACACGCACCATGTGATTGGCGCGTGTCGCTCACGCGCACGGATCTAAACCCACACGCGTCACGCGTCCGAAGAGACAATCTCTAGAAATGACAGTCCCTTCCTCCTCTCATTTTTCCCACCAACCCTTCTTTCCCTTTTCTCCCATTCTTTCTCCCCTCATTTTTAGTCATTGGAGATCTTTTATTAATATAGAGCAAAATTATGGATATAAAACCGTGCCCACCTTGCAAGGTGGGCATGTGCTCACAACATAATTTGCCGAGGACTAGCTAGCCCAACAATTCTAATGTAGAATTGTTCAACACCAATCCATATTAGGGTGTGTTTGGAAATCCTGAAAATGATTTATGGAAATCATTTTCCGGGTTTCCAATGTTTGGAAAGAAGGAAAATTTGAAATCAACTGAAAATGAAGCATTGGTCAATGAAAAATGAGCCTCTTTTTCCAGAAAACAACTTCCCCTTTTTTAAAGGTGAAGTCATTTTTCCGGATGTTGACTTCTTCATTTCTTCACGTCAAGAGAAGCTGACTTTCTTCATCTTCATTAGCTTCTTCATCTTTTGGCTTCTGGGCTCACTGGTTTTCGGCAGGTTTCCGCCAGAAACCTGAGCACTGGTTTCCTAAGCTTTGGTTTCCGGCGGAAATCCGGTTTCCGCCGAAAACCAAAGGTTTTTTTTTTTTTTTTTAAATAAAAATAAAAATAATAAATAACCATCAGGTTTCCACGCAGAAACCTGATCTGGTTTCCTGCGCGGAAACTAGACATGGTTTACGGCGGACCGGAAACCAATGAATATTCTTTTTAAATTTTTTTTATGCTTATTCTAAATTGAAAATTATTTTACTATTATTATTATAAATATTTTTATATTTTAAATAAAATAATTAAAATATTTATTTATATAATTCCACTCACTTTCTAAAAAATGAACCAAACACACCAATGCAGTTTTCCAAAATGCAACCAAACACCGGAAAGGAAAATGATTTTCGAAAAATGACTCATTTTTCAGAAAACATTTTCCAGAAATCATTTTCTTGCTTTCCAAATGGACCCTTAGTGGAGCTCAAGTAATTTAGGCCGAACTAATTAACATATGACCAGCAATTATCAATCGTTATACCCTGCACCACGGCGCACATAGCATTGTGCGCCTCCCACAACGACGTCGTTTTGGTAAGTTATGTAGGGAGTTAACGTGATTAAGTGTATTTGTTTATACAATTATATACATTTTTTTTATACAATTATGTACATGTGAAACAGGAAATTTATGTGTATTATGTTAAGAGTTTATGTGTATTATGTTAAAAGTTTATGTGTATTATGTATTATGTTAAATTATGTGTATTATCTTTTTTAAGAAAAAAGTATGTGTATTTTGTTATACAATTATGTACATTCATGTATACAATTATGTGTATTCTAGTATAAAATTATGTGTATTTATTAACATGAGATTTTTTTTAAAGAAAATTAACCGCCGAACACAGGGTAGTGAAATTTCAAAAAAAAAAATAAAAAATCTGAAACGACGTCGTTTTGCATCAGGCGCACAATGCAATGCGCGCCCTGGTGCTCGATATAAATTGCTAGCAATTATACTGTGGTTGACCATGGTCCAAAACGGCAGACACTATAGTGTATCTAAATTGACACTGTCTTACGTATTATTTTTATTATATTATCAAATGAAACTGCAATAAAATTAAAATAAAACAGTATGACGGTAATAATGTTATCGGTAATAATAATACTATAATAACGTTATAAGAGAGTAACAATAGTTGTATTGCTTTGTCTCAGTATAGAAAATACAGTGTGTCCATTGCTAGCTGAGGAGAGCCCCATTTATACTTAGAGTCCTAACGGTAACAACATGGGACATAAATGGGGAGCCTAGCCTTTAATTCTCTCTCATCAATGGGGGCTTCAATGCTGGCTTCAATGACAGTAAAGGTGGCACCTGTTGGAGTTCCTAACCGCTGGATTTCTGCCCGTTGGGTTCCCATGTGATGCTGAGTCGGATGCCCATTTGTGATCCGGGTCGGGTGCCAGCCCTATTATCCTGTCACCAGTCCCCCCTACTCCTGAGTCAACGGATGTGTTTGAGTTGACTTGGGAGTAAGGCTGAATCTATCTTGATCCTGTGTAGAATCCTGCTTGATTTAAGATTTGTGATCTTATTTGATCCTGTGTAGAATCCTGGTTGATTTAGGATATGTGGTTTTATTTTCCAAATCCCTAATTTGTGCCTTCCAAATCCCTGATTTGTGCTTTCCAAATCCTTTCCTGCTTCACTTAACTTTTTTTATCTCAGGCTCCTCTACAATATAAACCCTTGTCTCCGAGCAGTTTGAGAGCACATCTTCAACAACTTCTGCCCCATCTCTGTAAGTCTCTATTGTCATTATTATTTTACAATTTATTTATGTATTTAATGAATATACATGTCTTGCTCCTTTTTTTTTTTTTTTTTTTTTTTTTTTTTTTTTTTTTTCTTTTTATCGAGGCACCGCGCCTCAGCTTGTGGCCGAGGCGTCGCCTCAGCCACCACGCCTCGGCCTGTGGCTGGGGCGCGGCCTCAGCCATCTGGCCGAAGCGTCGCCTCGACCAGGAGGCCGAGGCGTGCGCCTTGGCCTTGGTTGAGGCGCGGCCTCAGCCTTCTGGCCGAGGCGGCGCCTCAACCAGAAGGCCGAGGCCTAGCCTCAGCCCTTCTTTTTTATTTTTTTTATTTTTATTTTTTGCTTGGCCAAGGCGTGCCTCGGCTGAAGCTGTGGCCGAGGCATGCACCTCGGCCACCCGAGTTATGTCTCGGCCAACTCGTGGCCGAGGACTCGGTTCTCTATTTATTTATTTATTTATTTTTAATACGCTTCTTTCCTGACAGGCAGTTTTGTACCCACATCTTGCGAGGTTACTACTTGAGCATGATTCCCCTCTTTTTGAAAATTTTCCCCCTCTTCCGTTTGCTGTTGATTCGCCCACATCTAGGCCCCAATTGAAAAAGAAGAAAAAACGCAAGGCCTCATATTCTGCTCTTGATAAGTCCCTCGTCCTGTCTATACGGCCTCAATTATGGCCACGGGATTTGGATGAGATGAGAGGTCTCCTTAGTCCTGACGTTCTAACTCTCCCTCCTGACCCTCAGGGTAATATCACCGACCCACCCCTCGATAAGTATTTTGGGGTCCACCTTCTGTCGCTACAGGTCAGGCTGTGGTTTCCCCTTCATAGGTTTGTGATAGATTTTATGAACCACTACGAGATAGCCCCCGGCCAGCTTGTTCCCAATGGTCACCAGGTAATTGCGGGCTTTCTCTCTATATGTAAGGACAAAGGGATAGAACCTACGCTGGATCTTTTCCATGCTCTTTTCATAGTTGGTAGGGCTTCTCAGGAGGGTAAGGGATTTTTCATGGTTTCGAGCAGGCCGCATTTCAAACTCTTTGAGGACCGTCCTACTTATAACAAGGATTGGAAACCCAAATATGTCTTTGTCACCCTTGTGGGTTGTCCGTCTCCCTTTCGTGTCACGTGGGGATCCCATTTACGTTGCCCTCCTACTCTTGACATGAGTCCCTCCCTCCGCCGAGATGTAGATGATCTACTAGGGGATGGTCTTTTATCGATCGTTGATTATACTACCAAGTGGAAGCTCACGGGCTTAGGCTTCGTGAGGGCTCATCCGGCTGTTCTTTCACCCACGGGTACTCTTCTGTTACCATTCAGTCTTTATTCATCAACCACTAACTCTAACTTGTCTTCTTTTTATTGCAGGTACCATGTCTTCATCTTCGAGAACCGGTCGATACTTGTCGCGACAAGATCCCCCCTCCAAGAAGAGCAAGGTAGAGAAGGGTAAAACGAGTCAAGCCGAGGCCGCGGAGGTGATGCCGCCTCCGTCGGCACGCACGCCGACTCCATCCAAGGTCGTTGAGCGTACGCCTACCTCAACCAAGGTCGCCGAGAGGGTGCGTACGCCTACTCCAACCAAGGTTGCCGAGGGGGTGACGCAGCCTCCACCGACTCGTACACCC